AGGGCGGGGAGGCGCCTCAGCCGCGTGGGTCCGGACGGGAAGGAGGTGTGGTTACTGCCGCACTGGCTGCTGGGCTGGCCGGCGAGGAAAGATCGGCGCTTAAAGGTAGGAGCCCCAACCGCCGCTGCGGCCTGCCGCTAGAAGAAGCGCGTGGAGGAAGCAAGAGCGGCTCCTTCTGCTCTGGGAGAAGGTTAGTCTGGGTGGCCCGTGCCCCGTTTCATACCGTTTCCCGGCGTTGGGCATTCACCATCTCCTTTTCGTGGTACCTTATCTTTCGAGGCTGTGGAGTTGTCTGTTCCCACGTGTGTCGTGTCGGTGGCTCCTGGTGTTAGGCGGAGGGGAATGGCTTGGCGGATTTCCGCACGAGCGGCGGATAACAGCTCCCCCCCCATCATCGCGGTGGCGATTTATCATTAATGATTATAGTAATATAAGGTCCGCTGGCATGAGCGATATATCGCCACCGCGATGATGGGGGAGGCTATCGGTCGCTTTTGCGGAATTCTCTGGGAATGTGGGGTTTGCAGAGCAGGGAGTTTCCATAAGCCTCAGTCCTACGTTCGAAGGTGTATCTGGACGGATTCGCCGGGTCGCTCCTTTCCTTGGTTGGGGCCTGTACGCGTAGCGGGGCGGGGAGGGAGGATACTCGAGGAGGTCCGCTGGAGTTGGGCGGCTAATGCATTTGAATAAATAATGAAATAATAAATAACTTAGGGGGCTCCTGAACTTTGGCTCCTGGGACCCTCAGGATCACAAATGGTACTTGATCTTAAAGTCTCACTGTGTGATCGAATTGTGCTAATGTGGAGAGCCGAAGGAGGTGGTTGGATCTCGACATTATGGGAGGGGCTGTACCACTTCAGATTGCAGGAGGCGGAGGGATAGTTTGGACTGTTCCCGTGTTGTGTTTTTTAACAGCGTCTCTCTCAGAGTATGAGAAGGAAGGAATAAGGGCAGCATTTTCTTCGGTAAAACTTTTTGAACTACTGCATGTCCAGGGTGTCCTCCAAGGTGGAGAAAGTGATCCACCTTTTTTGAACCGCGAGAATGTAGCGCTAAGCCACATGGATGCGTAAGTGGCAGATTAATCCCTTACTTGAAATGCTCATAGCTGTAGAGAATAGTGGAATTGAATTCCAGTTTCTCTAGGTGCTGTCTTTTCCCCCCTTTTTCCAGTGTACATCACTTTCAGTAAAACTGAAGTGGTATCAGGAAGGGAGTTTATTATAGGGTTTAGCAGCAGACTTTCTCTAGCAATGGCTTATATTAAGACCAGATTCTATTCTGTTAAATAATTTTTCTTAGGGTAGCTGGAGTCTGGTGGGAAGCAAACAGGGGATCTTGAAATAACAATGATTGATGTTGCTAGTTGGTAAAGGAATTCTGGGAGCTGTAGTCACACATTTAGAGGACATCAAGCTAAGGGAAGACTGTTCTAGATCTTTCCTGTCTGGTACGCAGGATTATTGTAACATAGAAGAGTATTCAGAAACTTTTAAAAACAGTGTGCCATCTGCAGAATTTTCTCTGTCTGCCATCTCGTGCTATTTTTGTAGATTCAATTTACATTGGAAATAATCAGTAATCTGCCTCAAATGACAGATTGTATAGCTGACTCCTGTTACGATAGGTTTTCAATTAAAATAACTCCACATAATAATGAAAAAGTGGCATTATATCAGCAGACATTAGTTTGCTCCTGCCCTGAAAAACATTTGATAGAAAATCTGAAAAAGGAAATTCTATCTGCGTATGAATATCTGCCTGTAAATGCTCTGTAGGACAACATCCCCCACTTATTCAGGACTCTGGATCATGATGAGTAGCCTTAAGCTGATAGTAATAAGGTGTTGGACTAGGAGTGGGGAAACCCAAGTTGAAGTCCACCCTTAGCCATGGAAGCTTATTGGGTGACCTGGGCCAGTCATGTTCTCTTAGCTCACTCCTCACAGAATTGTTGGTGGGGGAAAGTGAGAAGAGGGAAAACTGTGTATGCCATCTTGAATTCCTGATTGAAAGACAAGTTATAAATCTAACAGATAATATTGGAGTGGATTAAGTAGGCACAGCTCTGTTCTACACAGGTATGGAAAAGAAAGATGCTATCCATGTGAAGGATTCTATCCCACAGCCTTAACTGGTTTAATCAAGATCCAGGTTGCTTCCTCTGTGAGGATTCCTCTATGATGATCAAAGCTCATTGTTCAAAAGAGCATGGATATTTTAAAAAGAAAAAAGTTTTCTGGAGCCACGCTTAACACATGAGAACTAGTCAAAGGGAAACCAGTATAGCAGAAGACCGTATTTTATAAACCAGTGCTACTTTTTAAGCACATTTCCAGTAATTCGGTAAATCTCATTTTTTTCCTGAAAAAATGCATAAATGTCCAGTGCTTTTTGTTGAGTTATACACTCAAATTATTCTAGTTTAATTGTAACAATTTTGCTGTTATTTTATATTCTGTTATATTTTCACTTGTTAGTCTCCATATTAAGAACTTTTCTTTAAAGACTTTAGTGTTATAATATTAAACTGGGTAATCCTAGCTTTTAAGTATTTTTTTATATCCCATAGGTTTCATTATTGTTATTGAAATGGTTGTAGTTCCAACTGATGGTATTCTATACTGGTCTGACCAAAGTAAATATTTGAATTAATAGTAATTATAAATTTGTAGAAACATGACTTAACAGATGCCAAAATAACTTTCTATTAATGTGGACATGTTGGACACTCCGCTTCTTCATTCTGTGTCTCCCTATACTCTTTAATATTGAACAGTATAATTTAACAACTGTTTTATAAATAATGATAGGCTTATTATTTTTAGAAAGTTGCTATATCTTCTATAAATAAGGAAATTCTGAAGCTAGCTTTGCACACTAAGCTTCACTGATCAGAGAGGATTATAAATATACCTGATTGCAAATTATGCTGGTATGACTAAGTTGTCTTCCCATCTCATGCAAAGTCATAGTTCATTGAATAAGCTTCCAGGAAGTTTATATAACACACTCAAACCATAGTTTACAAGCCATGATGCCTGGTTTATACAATGTGACATGAAAACTGACTAGATTGTATTTGTGAACCACCAGGAGTCCTTTAGGATTGTGGCAGTCTATAAAAGTGACTAACAAATAAATACATGAATAAATTGCTGATTGTGATGTGTGAACCCAATCTTAGATTGTACAGTTCCTCCTACTGGGCCTGTTTCATCCATTTTGAGGGCTGCCCATCGTATGTCACTGGCTTGGGTGGAACAGTAAAGTCTTCATTTGGTTTTTCTGGCCAAATACCATTTGATCAGACACAGCTTTGCTCAAGGGACTTAAGATAATGGAATAACGTGCTTCTGCATTTCTCATGGAAAAAGCAATATTTCCTTGATTCCAGCTGAAAGATGTGACTGGGGAAAGTCTCCTAGAAGGGGAAAAAAAAAAAAGGAACAAATTTGAATGCTGCTTAATTGGGAGTAAAACCAGTCTTTTGTAAGCTTATAGTTTTAAATTTATAAAACTTGCAAGGTGGGACTTGAAATGGAATGGCATGATTGCTAGTACAAAAAACCAAGCAATGGAAGATGTATTATTCATAACATGATTACAGAAAGCAAATAAAGGAATTATAACCCAAGCTGTTTTGTATATTAGTTTGCATTCTAAATAGTTTCCGATATAGCTACTGAAGGGTTAATTTGTTCTAATTTTAATAGCATCTTGTAAATTAAAGTTTTTACTGTAAATCTAAAAATAACTCACAGGTATCAGTCCAAGAGATCCAGTGATTCATTATCTTTTTGCAGTCCTCCTGGAAAGTGGATTTCCTACTTTTGTACTAGTTAGGTTTATATTGATCAGAGGTGGGATCAGTCTTAACAAAAAACACTCTGTTTATCCAGTTTTGTCAGGGAGACTATGCTGTTTCAATTTTTTTTCTTTTGTACCACTTCTAAACACATTCCTTTTCAGCATGTTTCCATAAAAAGTTTAATTGTTGCCAGCCAGTTACAGTTAGATGGTAACACCTAATAGACTTGCAAAAAGCTAAGTAGACTGCAAACATGGTTAATGTTTGGATGGAAGTCACCTGGAAATCCCAGGGCTGCTAGCTAGATTGGGAAATTTAAAAAAATCCCAGAAGAAGGCAGTGGCAAACTTCTTACTTCTGCCAGAAAACATGGATACATCCACGTAGCAATGAGTTAAGTTCAACTTGAAGAAGACTTTATTTACTCCAAGATTCCACATTGCATCTGAATGCTCAATTTGAAGCTATGGCCAGATTACCCATCTTAGGCTATGTAGTGGTGACAATCAGACATCATCGTTATAAGACATTAAGGTGAGATAACTATAGTTCATGCTAGATAATAAGATTAAGTAGATACTTTGGAACCTTCAGTTGATCCAGAATGCTCCAGCAAGTATGCTAATGCACAATTTTACATGGGATTGTATTACACCTGTATAATACAGTCTCATGCAATGGATATTGTAACCACTGTGATATGGTAGTTATGGTGTTAGACTATGACTATGGTAGTTATGGTGTTAGACTATGACTGTGGTTCAAGTCCACCCTCAGCCATGGAAGCTAATTGAGTGACTTTGGGCCAGTTGCTTTCTCTCAGCCCAGCTTATCCCATGGGGTTGTGTAGGGAAACTTGGAGCAACAAGAAGTGCTGTGTAAGCCTCCTTGAGCTCCTGCCAGACAAGCAGGATATCTAGTGAGCAAATAAACACATGCACCAATTACTAACTTCTTTCCAGATACAGTGTAAACCATTGGGAGCTGGTACCAGGATATCTTACAGATCATTTCCTCCCAAGTGTGCCTGCCTGCTTCCCCACATCTGTTGGAGAAACTTGCTAATACCATTCAATAGCCAGGTCTAGACAAGAATAAGGACCTTCTCTGTCATATCAAATTGTTTGACCCTGAGATCAGTTTGTCCTGCTGGATACTATTTTCCCCTCTTTCTTTCCCCCCTTTTTTATTATGTTATAAATCTTGATACATTGTATTGTTTTAATACAGTGATCTTTATGGAATATGATTAAAGATTATTAACATTCTATTATTTAGATAGCTTAGATCAGTGTTTCTTAACCTTGGCAACATTAAGATGTGTGGACTTCAACTTCCAGACTTCCCCAGCCAGCATGAGAACTTAGAATAAAGAAGAGAAAGAAAAATATTCTATTAATATTAGTTCCAGTTTAGGATGTCAATATTACAAGCATTAAATTATTTTGCTTTTTCATTTTATTTTTCACCAACTGCTTCATACTTTCCTAGGCCAGCAAACAGATTATTTTTGTGTGATAGCATCGAATTTTATCTACCAAGACTATTATCATTTTTATGCTCCTTAATGGGACTGGTTTGAGTAATGCAGATATACTGAAAGTTTGGAATATGTTTTCTAAAAGGATAAAGGTCTACTAAAAAGGGGGGGGGTAATGTTTTGAATGTAGTGTTTCTAAATATTGCTTTGATTGCAGGAAGTGAAAATGGCTGAAAATGGAGATAGTGAAAATATGTCTGATTTGGAAAAGAAGGTTTGTCAACAAATTGAGGTATGAATACTCCTGGCATGCATATTAAGGTAGCATGCAAATGGCAGCCTTTGGATATTAGGGGATATAATCCAGTATACCTGAAGGACATTAGACGGGCAAACAATACAGCTAAAGTAAAAATTGTCCTACAGTAAAACTGTATTCATTGCAATTATATGTACTAATTGATCAAATGTGACAATTTTAGATATAGCCTCAAATCAGAATTTTCTTTTTTAAAAAATTGGAATTGATAATGTAGCTCCATTTGTTATTTTTATGCTTATTACCATGTTTAAGTCCTCTAGTAGTTCTTTATTATAAAATGATTAGGATAACTACTTCATGTCATTGTTTACATTTTAGGGAGAAAATGGGGTGTGCATTTTTAAACTACAGGTAGTCCCTGGGTTAAGAATGCTCGATTTACGGACAACCCATAGTTAAGAACAGAGCCTACTGTAGCAAAACTCAAGTTAAATACACAATGGTTTGAGTTCATTACACAGTACTACTGATACAATATAAAGCTGTTCTGGCTTACATACAAATTCGATTTAAGGACAGACCTTGGGAATGGAACTTGTTCTTAAACTGGGGGCTACCTGTAGCCCAGAATACAGGTAGTCCTCACTAACTGACTGCAATTGGGACCAACTTCATCGCTAAGTGGTGCGGTTGTTAGATGAAACATCATGTGACTGCGCCGACTTACGATGTAAGTTCTGGCTGTGGTCCTTACGTGAATCACTGCAGGTCATTAAATGTGATGTCACATGACACATCTGGCCTGGGGCGGGGAGGGAGGATGTCAGAAATGGGGTTGGCTAGCCCTTAGCGGCCTGGTGTGGCCTCTATTGGCCTCTTGGATCTTTTAATCTTTTTTTATCTCTGTTAGTGTGGTTCTTTTT